GAGTAGCTGGGACTATAGGCACGCACCACTGTGCCCGGCTAATTTTTTTTTTTTCTATGTTTAGTTGTTTGGCTAATTTCTTTCCATTTATAGTAGAGACGAGGTCTCACTTTTGCTCAGGCTGGTCTCAAACTCCTGAGCTGAAGCGATCCTCCCGCCTCGGCCTCCCAGAGTGCTAGGATTATAGGCGTGAGCCACCGCGCCTGGCCGTGAGAGTAGTTTTAAACAAGGATGATATTATCTGTGATTGGGCATCACGCTTTTCTTTTGCAGGTTACATGCCAGTCAATATTCTACTGTGCCAGGGAGGGGATGTAGCTGTGGATGTCAGTGCTTCTGCCTGCTCAGGCTTTATCTACACATTAATAGCTGCAGGGGGAGAACACCATCCAAAGACTTGACACTGACCCTGGGCTTGGGTGTTGCCTCTGATAAATGCTGGGCACTCTGTCCCTGAAGCCAGGGAGCGCATGCTTGGCAGCTGCCTGGGCATGCTTCCCTCAGTCCAGTTGCCAGGCCCAATTACACAAGGGCTGGCAGCTCCAATGGAGAGGCTAAAATTTGACCTAAGTGTTAGAGAGAGCTGATAAATAATTTTTATGAGGAAAGCGGACAAAACCAGGTGTTTATCAATAATACCTGAGAATTATTATCTGGTTTAATTAAGCAAAGGTAGTGGGGGGTCTCTTTCGGTTCGTTCCCTTAAATATGGCCCTTAAAAGAAATAGAACTCCCCTACTTCATGCTTCCCGGCAGCCAGGTATGTGAACCTGAAGTATAAGTTCCAGCATATATATCGTTCATAATTAAAATAGTTTATTTTACTAATCTGGAAACTAGTGACGTTTCATGATTACAAGCTTTAAAAATTTAATACAAGTACAATTTTTAAAAATATATTAATAGAATGCCTACACATTAAACTATCAAAGGCACTTTTAGGGTACATGATAAATAAAAATACATTAATAGAGACAGGATTATTTATTGGTTCCTTCAGTTTCTGTGTCCATGATGATCACTGAGAGCCCAGTTTTGCACTTCACCTTTGGCGAATAGTGTAAAGAAAAAGGCACCAAATACATTGATAGCAGCGGCGATATAGAAAACAGTTTGCCATTCTCTAACAGTGTTCTGTACAGAAAGAAAGAAAAAAATGCAAATGAAAAAAATTTTGTTTGTAGTCTACTTTATAAAAAAGGCAATGTCACAAGACGGTTAAAACAGCAGCATTATTGATAAAAGCCACCATACTTGAAACAACCCAAATGTTTATCAGTAGTACGACTGTGGTATATTTGTTTAATGAAATACTATACAGCAATGAGAATGAATGAGCTACAACATAAATACCTCTCACCAACAAAATGTTGTGCAAAAGAAGCCAGGCAAAAAGAGTACATACTGAACCAGCCTGAGCAAGAGCGAGATCCCATCTCTACTAAAAAAAAAATAGAAAGAAATTATCTGGACAACTAAAAATATATAGAAAAAATTAGCCGGGCATGGTGGCACATGCCTGTAGTCCCAGCTACTCGGGAGGCTGAGGCAGGAGGATCACTTGAGCCCAGGAGTTTGAGGTTGCTGTGAGCTAGGCTAACGCCACGGCACTCTAGCCCGGGCAACGGAGTGAGACTCTGTCTCCAAAAAAAAAAAAGAGTACATACTGAATGATTCCATTTATATAAAGCCCAAAGTCAGACAAAACTAATCTCCAGGATTATAAAGCAGTATAGTGGTTCCTCTCAGTGGGGGTGAGGCAGGAATGCTGGGAAGAGGGACCTAGGGGTTTCTTGAGGGAGGTAATGTTCTGTTTCTTGATTGGGTGCTGGTTACACGGATGTATTAACTTTGTGAAAATTCATCCAGCTGTATACTTGGGATTTGTGCATTTAAAAAATCTGTTATACTTCAGTAAAAAGTTTACTAAAAAGTGTGGCATGTCCCCAAATCACATGTCACTAAGAAAGTGTTATGCCTGCGCATCATCTCTCAAGTCCTTAGGTGGGTGGTGTTGGGTGGGCCAAGAAAAGATGAGTTACAATGAGCTCTGAAGTTCAGGTTTGAGGGTCTCTGGGACATTGGAGGGAGGCCTGGCCAGCGTAAAACATCCTGCATGGCACACAAAGCAAGACATCCATGGCATTTGCCAGTAAAAGATTGACAATTGTTCAGTGTATAAACCAGTGACATAAAAACATGAGATGTTTATCTAAATTTCTGGGTCCTGTGACGACCTTTAACCATCATTTTTTGGAACTTTACAATTTCAATCTAACCAGAGTGGTTACATTTGCAGCATTTAAAAAAAAACC